ATTGAAAGTAAATTATTTTTGACAATATATAATATATATATATATTGTATATTTATAATTTATTGAACTTGAACATGTTTATGAACTTTTGAACTGAATCTGAACTTGATTTAAAAGTTCAATATTGAATCTGAACTAAACTTTTTTTAAAAAAAATTCAAGTTCAAGTTTAGTTTAATTTTGAACTTGAACTTGGTCAAAAGTTCAGTTCAGTTCAGTTCATAAGAACACTAAATAGAGGTATTTTATAATACAATATATATATATTAGATATAAGGTTCTGATAGGTCCTAATTTTAGTTTTTGTAAGATTTTTGAGATTCCAAATAGTTTTACTTAGAGTATCTAATCCTGTTTACTTAGTATATTTTTGAGATATTGTATAAGGTGTTATATACCACAGTGTTATAAATATAACTTTTCCTTATATAAATATTTAAATCAGAAAATAAAATCATTATTACTTTATATAAATCTCATTTATGCATTTTACTAATTAATTTCTATAACACTAAATTCATGTAGAATATATTAGTTGTTATTAGCAATAATAAATTAAACTAAATATAGTACTAAAATAAAAATTTTAAACTTGTATTAAACATTCTAATTATCTTTTAGTTAAGTTTGTAGTATTTATATTGTTAATAATCATTTGATTTTTAAGCAGAGTGCTTCGATTTTAGATTTTTTTTTTTTTTAATCTTCAAAGGTGAGGATTGTTTTATGTAGTGACAGCAGACAATATTAGCGTTTTTGTAAAATAAAAGATGAAATATATAATACATATTAACCAATCATACACGTAAAATCTTCTTCAAAATTACATGATATGGGCATGCCCAGAGACCCTGTGCCACCTACCCTACTCTGACGAGGTAAAATAAAAAAACCATATCAAAAATTTATGTTTTTTTATAATACAAGAATCTATCCAAATTATATATAAAGTTTTTTTATTATGTAAACCTTCTTTCGGCTTTTATTAAAAGTTGTATAACTAATTTTTCTGATTCTAATGGTGATAAAATCATTAAAATCAGTTGGATAGATCATGAGCGATTTTTTACTATAGGGTTTTTTTTAAAAAAATTTGATTCACACGGATTCCACTTCTATATAAAGCAAATACTGCGGATTGCCCTTAACAAAGTTCTGTGTTTTGTAATACCCAAGGGTTTTTCAAGATTAATATGTTAACCGGTATATTTTTAATAACAACTATGCAACGATGATAACTACAATAAATAGACCTATATTAAATGTCGTGATCTTTGTTAGTCTCGCAATTTAACAAAGAGATTTCTATGTTTGACCTGATCAGGAAGTAAAATCTAATTATATAAGATATTGTTTGATATTTTTTTATTTATTTTTTATGATTCGAGATATTAAATTAAGAATATGAAAACTAAACTACCATATAACTACATAAAGAATGTACGTAAGTATGTTAATCTACTACATCATATATATATGTATATATTTTAATCCACTTTTTTAACTGATACCTTCTTACTATACATCTTTTTGGCAAAATCCACAAATAGATAAATCAAAGGCATCAAATAAATAAGGTTGATCCATGTTGCCAATACACTTCCATTACTAGTCAAACAATTATCAAAAAACAAATAACTAAAAGCGATTGTGATTCCTACCAAGAATTGGAGAATTTGCAACGAAGTCAAGTATTTTTTGCCCGGTGGGTTTATACCAATAGATGTTAGCGCATAGTAAGCGTACATTATTGTGTGAATGAAAGAATTGAAAACTACAAAGATCCAAATCGGAGGGGCTCTGAAGTTCATACCGGCCCACATTGTTATCATCGCGCCAGCATGGTGATAAGTTTGAAGCAATGAGGAGCGGCGAGATTTTAGAATAATTATTATGGTATCGATTACTTCATAAACTAAAATATATGGATGATAAACATTAATAATCTTTAATTATGATTAAAAATAAAGATGATTTAATCAGGCATACATTTTGAAAGATAGAAAAGGTAACCCCAATAGCCGAGAGCGTCATCCCAGAAACTTCCATCGCGATCACAATACTAGTAAAAGTCAAGTGAATATGAATATATAAATGCAATAATGTATATATCAAAAAGCAGAGATATTATTACTCACGGCATCAGTAAAGCTATGAGTCGTATAATTTTTCACCAAGGCAGGTGTTACATTTGCGAAGGCAGCAAAGGAAAATATAAATAACACCAAATTATGTAAAAACACAAAAGTAGTCATTGAATCGCTACTTTTTTTAACCGATGATGCTTTTAAACCTTTTTGCATTGCTACGATACGAGAAACATTATTCGAACTTGGATTTAGAATAGAGACAGAAACGACGTATATTATAGCAAACAATACAGGAAATCGATAATCCATAAAAATTGGATAAAGCTGAAGAAATGGAAGATTGGAAGGAGGGGGAGTTGTCGGATACGCTGTAGAAATTGAAGGAAGCATATGAGCGATTGGAGAGAAGAAACTGTTGGGGTCCATATTGTTTTTTTTTTAGAAGAAAGACTAAGGATAGACGCGTTCGTTAGTGTTCGTTAATTTCGTTAATCAAAAAAGATATTATAAATCTTGTTTCTTTGAAGAAGATTTAAAGTGAATAAATGCATGCATCCAGAACGAATTTATATGTATCGAGACGACTGACAATGGTCTAAGTTGGTATCATTCTTGATCTAAAACATTAAACAATATCTATGTGAATACATATCATAAATATTATAAATTGTCATACATATTGAATATATGAAATTTAGTATATCAATATATCAATAAATACATACGATAACTTAAATGGTTTTTTTTAAAAGTATCACTGATTTCTAGATATAATGCAGATTAGACGATAATGACAATTATATTAAATACAGAGTTGACATGTTCTTGGGGATCTGTAACGATAGATCGACATATTAATAGGACCACATGCAAAAAGATCGAAATCGATTAAAGTAGATAATTATGGTAAGATTATTCTTTTTAAAATTGAAAGATAAGCATTAAATGTACGTACGTACCTGTTTAATCTTTAAAAACATAATACGTTAAGGACGTTAATCGAAATTTTATCACATTCTGTCAAATGCAATGAATTTTCGTGCAGCTCTGGAAACGGATGAACGGTCTGCCGTTACTAATTATGGAAATCCATTTATTAATTTATAGAAATTCTTGCATATCCCTTAGTTATGCAAAGAAGAAAATTTTGGGGAAGATTTTAACTCGAAATTATGGTTCTGTTTATATATTAAACTATAAATAACCTGTCACGTAGATCATAACAGACACTTGCAAGGGTTACATCCGGATTCAGTTGATAAATGATAGCACAAATCAACCAAAGTCACAAGGCTGACAATAGATAATTCATAGGTATAATATTGTTCTCTCATTGTATGATTTTCTTCTAAATGTTAATGCTTTAGATCATCCTTAGTGAGTGCATTAAACCATTCGATTGGTCACTCATTCGAACAATTCTTCACTTTTGCTCTTCAATCATCTCGGAAAATGTTGTCACCACCTTCATTTCATATTCGAATATATATATCCTTAAATTATTTACTATATATAACCTAAAAGAATTTTGCCATCTGCTAATATTAGGGAAATATAATAACTTTATTTTCATATGATAAATCTTAAATTTGCCTTAAATATGATATTCAAGATATGGTTGAAGTCTAGTTTCCGGTATTTATTCTGCAGCTACCCGCGGTCACGTGACAACACATGAATCAGTTATTAGCCTAACCATAACGCTAATTATATCATCAATTGCTTGCTCTACGTAATAAATAACGCAAAGCTTGAATTGATCAGTTCTGATAAGTATGCTTCTAAATTCGTAATAATACGTTAAAACTCTCGCCACCGTTATTGTTATTTTTTAATATTTAAAATTTGTCTATCAAATCATCATCTTCAAATGGGCTTACTTATTCCATATTACAAATTTCATTGATATTATCTACTAAATTTGTCTACTTCTTTCTGTGCTATAATGTGACATTTTTGTTTAGCACGTGGTATAATAATAAATTGTTATATTTAATATATTTAATATATGTTGTGGAACACGAAAAAGCCATCAATAAATTATAGTACGTACCAACCTGAAGATCTCTATGATAAACCAGTAAATTTCGATATCGATGTCGAAATTTTTTCTTCTATAGTGAAAGTTAAAATTCTTATCATTATTTAAAAATAATTTATGTTCATCAG